TCACTGCTCTTAAGTAGCAAGAAAAGGCAGGCTGTATATACATACATGCTATACGATGGAATCCTTCCCACAGGATTCCTCCACCTCAGTTGTTTATATCCAGAAAGGTCTCCCTGGCTGCCACAGTTACATATGGTGACATTTTAATTCAGAGACACTAAACAGACATGAGCACACAGAGGTTCATCCACACCATTCAGGCAAGTGTACCTGTAAAATTAATCTGGTTTTAACAACTGCCTTTGCTAGAACAGTGAATTTCCAGGTCCTATCAACATCTACATCTGAATGAGGAATATATTCAGCTATTTTCAGGATGTCTGCTTTTAAAAAAGAATTGCTGATACAAACAGAAAAGCTTTACTGTGAACTACAGTTGACACTGATGGGACTGAAGCTGATCTTTGCAAAGCTCTCTCAAACATAATGAGGAATTCTAATTTTTATGGTAAATTATATCAAAAGAACTCTGGCTTCCTCTGAACTAAACCCAATCATGCTGGAAGAGCCCAGACCTATAGCAAGAGGCTACAGAACTAGGGACATCCAAGTTATTGGCTGCAGAAAATGCAGAGGGTAGCACACCTATGTTTTCCTAAGTTCCAAAAGTAATTAAAGGAGTGACTCTGTGGCCTAGCGAGCCACCTCCTACAGTTCTCACAGTCTGGTATATTTGTTTCTCCAGGTGCAAGCAGCTGACGGACAATTAGCTGATGCCACACAATCTGCATGTGAACTTCTCATTCCTGGAGCCTTAATGTTCTGCCCTTCCTTACAGTTCAAGCCATTACACAGGATCACAGGAGAAAAACATTTCCTGCAGCTCGTTCCACATCGCTCTTTGTGACCAGGCTGCACCGTCCGAGCCCTACATCAAGACACTGCTATTTACCACATTTCTGCATGTCCATTTGCATTCAAATATTAAAAGGTGTAGTTTTAACAGGTAATTAAAAGAAGCAGAATGGTTAGTAAGCTGCAGAATAATGCTGCCCTTACTCTGAAAGAGAGTTGCACTGCATAACCATACATTATTTTCATCTACATCATCTGTATTTCCTCTCCATTAATTGCCATAAAATGCTGTCATCCAGAATTAATTACCTTTTATTTACTGCATTGGGATGTTTCATATTGGAAAACTACTCATCCTTTGTAATACATTAATTAATTTTCAGGTCACAGCCCTTAGTCTCACTTGTTTGTATATGACCAAAGAAGTCAAGTCAAATCCTCAGTACAGTGTTCACACAAACGCACACAAAACTGAAAAATAAAGCAGCAGAACAAAAAAACCCCAGTTTCTGTAACTGAGGCTTCATTTCAGCAAGAAGGGAATCACATGTGGCCTGGCAAATTTAAAGAGTTTTGGACATGTTTTCTACCATCTATCAGGGATATTTTTTTTAAATATGAAAGCATCCTTGATGTGAGACACCTTTAAATTGTATGATGGTAGCACTGGTTAGCACACTGAGATTGCTTGGCAACCACTCTCAGAAACATTCCCTACAAAAGAAAACACAGCATATACACCACTTGCATACAACATGCTAAAAGTCAGGTTTTAAAACATAGTGTAAGGAATTCTCATTGCCTAAAAAGGGCATAAAGGCCAGCTAAAACCCTAATCTAATCAAACAAGCCTTTCACCTCCCATTAAACACACTTAGTGCTCTATTTGCTTTCCATCACTCGCTGTAGCAGTTCAGCATAGAGACACATGCATAACAAACTACAAGCTTTTAGAAGGGGCAGTTACTTGGCCTGTGAATATTTGTGGCATGTTTTATATATATATATATATATATATATATATATATATGTCTTCTTAATGGAATATCATGGGAAAACCTGTAACCATCAATTTTGGCTTTGCAAATACTTTGCCCTTTTTTCATGAGCAGAGCTAGTTTACTTTTAAGTATCCTTCTTAGCTTTACCATGAAAACATTGCATAAAAGTCCGAAGAGTTAATATTCTTTCTCAGATAAATAACTGTAACGTGAAGTTCTTCACTCCAGCAACTTCATAGTCACATTTAGAGAAATGGAAAGAAAGCCATCACTTCCAGTCCATGAAATGTCAATTCACTGTTTGCTAAGAAGAAGAGAAGCTGAAAATTCAGAAAGGAAGAAATTCTTGCCATTATTTCCATGACTGGGAAATCAATGAAGAACTAAAGAAATAAAAAAACAGCAGTGACTTGACTTTATGTCATTACCCGAATAATCACTTGAAAGACCATCAAACAACTTTCACACACTTCTTATGCAGAAGCCAAAACATTTTTTCTCCCCTCCTCTCCGAAAGTGTATTTTTAAAAACCAGAAGATTCTAAAAATAGCAAGCTTCCAATTATCTTTTAAAAACTCCACCCCTTGCCCCTCCTGAAATTTCTGCTATATGCAAGAACATAATTTCTTGGGACACAAACAGCAGAAACTTTTTAGATATAACTTGCCCACAGGAAACAACAGTGTTGTTAAAGTCCACTGTAAATGGCTTCCGTGACTTGGATTTTAAAATAGAAGCAACATCATGAAAAACAAACTGAGCTGGGTTTGGCCAGCACATTCAGAGCTCACTTTAATCTCATTTGCTCCTCATGAGCCTCCTTCCCCCCAGCCTCTGGGTGAACCCAGCAGAGCAGGGGGCTCTGGAGCAGGGGGGTCTGCAGGGCTGTCAGCATTCCTGCACCACTCCTCCCAGCTGCTTGGAGGAGCCTAATCTGAGCATTTCCCCAGGGAACCCCTACGATGGCAACAACTCTATTTTCCAGTGTGCAAGATTATACAGAACTGTTCATGAAGAATGTACTGCACTTGAAAGAGCTATCCTTACTTACTGACGCAAGGAGAAAAATGAGTAAATATAATTACTACCATAATCCCAGCAGGTTCCTTACAATATTTTTGTAATGCCTTATAAGTCTACTGAACAGCCCAATACTGTCTCTCTTAGCAGAAAGCTTTTAGAAACCCACCTGAGGTTTCCAAACCCCCAGCCTGGGCTGGGGCACAGGATCGGGTTGTCCTGCCCCAGAAGGAGCAGACATCCCCCAGCCCAGACCCTCACGGAGCCAGCAGGTGGCAGCCCGCCTTTGCCTACACTTCTTGTCAGGGTAAACTGCTTTCCAGGCAGGAAGACACAACTGTTCTGGAGTATTTTCCTAGGAAAGCAAGCTCAAGGCTTCATTCTGTTCAAAGAGACAATTCACTAAGCTTTACACATGGCAAACTGAGCTTCCCTAATTTCACATTTGTCCACACAGTGACCCAGGGAGTGGAGGGGGACAGGCAGCTACTGCAGAGTAACTACACAGAAGGAATCTGAACACATCTGTTCCTGCAAGCTCCTCTTCTGTATCAGAGGGCACCTGCAAACAAAGCCCACTTTGTTCTTTTATATATCCTGTGTACAATGACACAGAACTGGACACAGCTCTCATGCAGACAGGGTGCTTCAAGTGATGGCTAAGCTGCCAAGTTGGCATTGTCCCAAAAACTTACTCCTGTGTGCCTGTTCCTGAATACTGGTCACCCACATTGCAGGGCTAAACATTCTCAGTCAGCCCAGGCAACAGCAGGGGTGGCAGGGCCAGGAGCCCCAAAGCCAGTACTTGGAAAGCTGCACAGGGCATGGAAGTGGCAGCAGTTCAGCACATCCATGGCACTTACAGGCATGCTCACCAAACTTGCTGCAGGGCAGGTGTTACAATCCCAAATAAATACAAGGCTGGGATAAGATAAAAATCCCAGGTGCCCCGAGAAGTTCTGCAGTCAGGAATCACCACTCCAGCTGTCCATTCTCTAACCCAACATGCAGGAAGCTACTGACTGGCCAGGATAAGGGATGTTTAGGCTTTTTTTTTTTTTTTTCAGAAAATACCTGGATGTTCTTTGATAGAAACCTGCTGTCCATTAATATACAGTATCTGCTCCTGGAGGAATTGCCTGCTGGTGTCTTAGTCAAAAACAAACGTCAGATGCAAGCTACCTGAATGTTTATTGAAACATTCAGTTATCTTTTATCCATTGCAGAAAAGAGGCAAAACTTACAAGCCTGGAACAGAACAGCAGAAGAAATTTAATTCATTTCCATTCTATTACTTCTGAGTACAAGTCAGGTCCTCCCTTACATCACTGGCTGCCTTTCAAGCTCTCTACACCTGACACCGTAGCCAAACTTTAGTTACGAGGATTGATCCAATACATTGCAGCAAACTTAGCGTACGCGGCAACCTCCCTAGAACATCACTTACTTCAGCACAACTTGCGCCTACCCGCAGAGCGCCAGGCTCTCAGAGCAGCCCCGACAGCTCCGTGCGCAGCTCTCGGAACGAGCCCTGTGCAGGGGCGAACGGGAGGCCACGGGAGCTGCCGGGCCCGGTGAGCACCGCGCCCCGGAAAGGCATCCCTCCGTCACGGACCGCGGGGAGCCGAGCGCCGAGCGAGCCTCGGCAAGCACATGCAGCAAACCGAAGGATTACGGGCACCGGCTCTGCAGGCGAACTTTCCCAAGGCTCCGTTTTCGGGCTGCTCACAGAGCGGGGCGCTGGCCGAACACCCAGCCCAGCCCCGCAGCTCCCCGGCCCTCAGCGCCGCGCCCAGCCCGGCAGGCTGCTCCGGCAGGACCGCGCTGCCGGCCCGACCGCCGCCCGGCCGGACCGCCCGTTCCCCGGCACCAGAGGGCTTCGGGCCCCCCGCGACCCGCCGGGGTCCGGCCGGCCGGGCGTCAACCCAGCCCCGTCTTCCTCCTCCCGCCGAGGAGGGCTGTGCCCGCCCGAGCCCAGCCCGGCTCCCCCGGCCCGGCCCGGAGCACCGCAGCCGCTCCCCTCACCCGGGCGGCCGCCGCTCCCCGCTCGCCCTGCCCGACCAGCAGCGCCGCGTCTGCGCCTGCGCCCCGCGCACGCCGGGAGCCGCGGCCCGTCTGCGCAGGCGCGGCCGAGGGCGGGGGCCTGGGAGCGGCGGGGCCCGGGCGGGGCTGGTGCGGGGCCCGGTCCCGCTTCAGGTAGCGCGCCAGGTACCGCACATGGAGGTGCTCAAGGCCAGGTTGGGCAGGACTCCGAGCAACCCGGGCTGCGCAAGGTGCCCCTGTCCGGCAGGGCGTTGGATCGAGGGACTGCAGGGTCCCTGCTGAGCAGACCGTGCCTGAGGGGTGGCAGCCCCTCCGGACGGGCGCACCGTGTGCGGTGCTCTGCGGGGCACAGCCCACGGGGTCAGTTTCGGCCTTGCAGATCTCTCTTGTAGCTCCTTTCTTCTTTTGGCCCGTTCAGGCTCCTCGTCTTCACCTCTGCCGGTGCCCTGTCGCTCCTGAGCCGCACGGGGAGCAGGGACACAGCGGCTGCTCCCGGGAAGCTCCGGCCAGAGCTCCTGCGGCGCTTCTCTTGACACGGGGCAGGTGCGATCCAAGCACCAACGCGCCCTGTGTGCTGGTGGGTGCTTAATCATCAGGATTTTGAGGATGTTTCAGCTACCTGCTAAACACCACGTGTTAGTAAACAATATTCTGTATACATTTTTTTTTAAGGTTTATAATGTGACTAGAAGACCTGGACAGCAGTGGAAACAATGGTGCTGGTGCTGAAACAATGCATATGCACAGCAAGAGCAGATGCACGGAGCTCCTCACTGCTGGTCACTGAGCTGAGCACAGCAGGAAAAAAGGCTCCGACATAATCCTAAACTGATTAAAACATAATATACTTACTCTCTACAGTGCTGATGTGGTAAAAATGAAGAACATTGGTTCAAAGTATGTGGTTTGAGACCGAAATATCTTCCTGCCTAGGGAATTCACACAGGATGTAGACAGGAAGGATATTGTCAGTAAAGCAGATGATAACAAAAAGTGATGCCTGACCCTCTATCCTATATATCTTTTTTTTAATGAGTCAGATTAAAACAAAGTATGTGTGAGGAATCATATTTCTTCCAGTAGCAGCAAAGAGGGACATGATTCAGTTCTGGTTCTCTTGAGACACAAAACTAACACTTTGAGAACTTCATGCTCTGATGCGAAGGGTTAAGATGAGCACAGAGCCTTTGGTAGGAGGCCACAGGGGTAGCTACCTGCCTGTGTGCAAATTCTCCCTTTTCTAGTGGATGGCTGCCTTGTGGTCAGCCCAGAGCCCACCTGCTGAGCCATGTCTGGAGAGAGCTCAAGATTCAACCATCAGACTCGAAGCGTTCTCAGCCCCATCTGCAGGAGCCCACACTGTCTGACATGCTCTGCCCAGCTCTGGGACCACCCCTCACAGGGCTTTGTTTCTCAAGTAGACCATTAAGACAGTTTAGGTGTATCCCAAATGACGCAATTCCCTGGGTACTGACTGTATGAAAGAAAAAAGTGCTACAAGAAACATGCCCAGTGTATACTGGTCAGCTCCAGGAGCTCCAGAAGCTCCTTGGGCCTCTAACTCTTTAGATAAAGAGAGAAATTCAGTGCTGAAGAATTGTCCTGTAGATCCATTCATCGAGAAGGAACTGGAACAGAAAGGTCTTCACCATTAGCAGACCCTATAAAGAGAGGAGCACAGTATCTCTTGGATCCTGCTCCTATCTGAGGTGCAAACCACTTTAAATGGGACAATGTAAAAAAGGTGGGGATTTGGCCAAAATCTCCTCATTCTCATCCCAGAACAGACAGCAGAGCTGGCCCTGGTGGAGGAGAAGCCACATCTCTTTGGGTGGAGCAGAGCCATGTTGCCTTTACTCCAGGTCTCCAGGGTAGTGTCCACCAACCTAAGGTGCTCCTGAGCAGGCTGCCTGGAGAGGAGCAGGGATGCAGAGCTCTGCAAGGGGCACAGAAGATGCTGAGGTGCTGGGGTCTGGCCCCAGACTCAGTAGTGGTCATCTTGTGTCCTGTGACAATCCCTCCCACCTTTCAGTCTGTTCCTGTTCCCAGTGGCATACCTGCCAGGTGGCCCCAGGCTTCAAATAGCCATCTGTTCTGTGTCTCACTTTCCACACCCACAAAATGAAAATCGTGGTTCAATTGGATATCTGCTGCAAATGAACTGGTACCGATAAGATATTTATTATCAGTGTTACTACCATAGCAAATGCAGTGTCTAAATTGAAATGCATTTATTCAAGATTTATTGTGCTAAGGATGTAGAAGGGTTCACAGGAAGCAAGTTTGAATGAAATAACAGAGGACTTGACAATAGTGTTATTTAATGTTTTACTGTACCTCACATTATAAAACAGTCCAAGAAAATCCTATTATCTATCAAAGCAATGCAACTAAAAATTTTCCAATCCAAATATAGTTGGGGATTGACCAGTTGAAATGCTGCTGGCTGACATTTTAAGGCTTGGACCATCAAGATCTTATGGATGGAGGCTGCATACATAGATTGGTTTTCTTTCAAGGCCACTTCAGAAGTATCTCCCCACTTCAGTAATTTTACATGTGGGCAACAGTCAATTATTTTCTCTACCCTAGGTCTGAAATTTGCTGATCAGGAATTGAACGAGGGGCTTTTATTTACAGGTCACTGCATTTGATCAATATCTGGTCTTTAAGGGAAGAGATCAAAACATGCACCACATAGAAATCAAGTCCAGATGTTGTCTAGAAGACAAGCTCCAGTTCTAGCAGGAATTAATTAAGCAAAGTCTTACAAGCTGTGTCATAAGGAAACCAGATGAACAGCAACAGCCCCTGTGGCTTTTTATTTTAAAAATGCAATAAACATTTTGAAACAACTGACCACATTTTGGCTACAAATAGTTCATTGAAATAAAACTTGCTTTGGGGTGCCCCAGCTAATGACTTACTGGTACAACCTGCTGGCAGTAAGCCCAGTTTAGACAGACTTGGAAAAATGCCAAACATCTACCCTGCATTCACCACAGAGCCTCTGAACCAAACTGTGACTGGCTGTAGGGAAGGCTGAGCCAGGAAATGCATTGTTTTGGGATCCACAGGATCCCAGCTCTCAAAGGCATCCCCCAGAGTGAAGTAAATTTTTTTTTTTCTAGAGTACTTGTCCCCTTATATGTTATATCCTTAGGGTGTTTACTCTGCCACTGCCCTTCTTTCAACAGGTCAAATACATAAATAAAAATAAAAATAAATTAAAACGCTAGGTGGGCAAAATGTTATGTAAACATTCTGCCAGGGGAAAAAAGGACTGTTTGGGAGCCTTACCCTACCCTGTCAGATGTGCCAGCCTGGAAAATCCCACACATGGGAAATATGGTCAGTGCAGGTGGCCACAGTCATTTGAGGTAAATATATCACAGCAGGCATAGCCCATAAATGGGATCTCCTGTAGCCCAGACGTGGGATAGAGCTCAGATTCATGAATTCTATTGAGTACATTTTTCTTCTAATGTTGCAGTTTGGGAAGAATGAAAGATTATCTAGTACATCTGCATTTAATCTACTTACTGTGTATGGTTTTGTTGGTATGCCTCGTAAATACAGGTGACCTGCAGCTTTTCTTAAACAGAAACTGATCATGTTTCTAATTTCTTGGTTGCAAATTCCATTCATGAGGTATAAGGAAGAAAGAACCATGAAACCACAGCCAAAAAAGAGCAGAATTTTGACTTCAGCCAAACTCTATATTCCTTGCAGAGGATTGTTACATTTTTAACAGAAAGTAATATAAAGTGAATTTGTCATCAGATACAAAGCATGCAGATGGGAAAGTCAGCATGGGAGGATTTATTTTCCTTCATATCAACTTACTAAATACATTTTAAGGCATGACAGGAAAATCTGAGTGAAAAAACTTGTAGGAGTTTATCAAAAAACAAACACCCTAATGTTAACTTTCGCTCTGTGTAGATAGCATACATTCCCCTTTCCCAGTATTTGTGTAACGATGAGTGACTCATTCAAACCCTGATCCTACAGGCCAAGATTAAATCCCAAAAGAGGGTTTGATCTGTGTCAATAATTAAATCCACATTTCTGTCTCATGGCTGAATGAGACCCATTTGCAGGGAAGCTTCAACCCCACCACCAAATCAACAAATTGCTCTTCAGCCTGAGCCACCAAGTTACAGAGCAGAAGATTTCAAAGCAATTTGTTTCAGCTTCTCTGATGCTTCTGGGACTGAACAAGCAAATCCACAGATGCAAACCCTGTTTTCTTTGAATGCTTCAAGGCAGGGAAGGAAAGGAAGAGACTGCAGAATAAATGGATCTGATTATTTCCCATTTCTGTTGATCTGATAACATTTTAGATGTTTGGCAAAAAAGCTGTTAACTTACAGCTGGATATCCCATTTTATGAGAAATTGGAGGCAAGGAGGTTCCAAGCAGTAACTGCAGCTTTGGAGGAATTTTCTACACTCTGTACATGATTGTGGATACGGGTGTTTTCCTTAGCAGCAGTGGCAAAACACCCACAGTAACCCTCCAGCCCCTCATATTAGCCTGAGTCTTCTGCTCTAAGTCTTGTACAGACACCTGAGGTGTTTGGCAGGGTTTGGTGTTTCCTAGTTGTACTGTTTTTCTGTAGGAAAATTCAACTCTAGTGCAGCATCTGCTTCTTAACAAGGTAACGTCTTATTTTCCTGCCAATGTGAAATGAAAACTTAAAGACATCCCAATCATTGGAACAGCTTTTCTGCTGCCTGTGACTCATCACTTAGTGCTCAGAACCAAGGGCCTCTGTTCAAAATCACAACACCCAGCGAAAGCATTCTGATAAATTAAATTATGGACATGCTTAATTAAAAGGGGTTCACTCAAATGATGTTACATATAATTTCAACCGATAGTTAACCTTACTATAGAATAATAGAACAAATATAAATTGAATTGCCAACACTAATTAACAGAAGAAAGGGAAAATATCAAAATGGTCTCAGGGGCCAGCACCCTCTACTCCAAAACTGGCTCCCTGGGGTGACACATCTTGGTTCAGGGTGAGGGCCAGAAGGTTTCTGCTGCAGGACCTGTTTGGCTGGCTCAGTTTGCGGCAGGTGTTGAGAGGAGCAAACCGTGTTCTGTGGGATCAGCCGCCGACACGTGTGCCCAGAGCTGGCCGGGTACCCACGCAGGGAGTGCGGGCAGAGCTGTTCTTGGGGCAGGGGCGGTGGCCGGGCTGGCAGAGCACCCAAAGCACAGCGCAGCCTTTGTGAGCCACGAGGTGAGGGGAAGGCTCAGGCTGCACCATGCCAAGGCAGAGGCGACAGGGAGTACGTGGTTAGTGGGATCTCACCTGCAGGCTCGGGGCAGGCAGCAGCAGAGGGATGAGGTGGCAGAGGGAAGGGAGGGTGGCCTGGCCGGGGCGGGAGGGCCGCTGCTGCGGGAGCCGCTGCTGCGGCTGCCCTCGGGCCGGTGCCGGTGCCCCCCGGCAGCCGCCGCCGCCGGACTACGAGTCCCGGCGTGCCCGGCAGGCCGGGCCGCGCTGCGCAGCCGCCGCGCCGGGCACCCACCTGCAGCCGGCGGCGCCGGGCTCGGGCGCGGAGCGGCGCGCAGGCGGCGGCGGCCAGGCCCGGCCCGCGGCGGGGTAAGGCGGCGGCCGGGCCGGGCGGGACGCGGGGAAGCATCGCCCGCGGGGGCTCCGCGGGGCTGCGGGCGCTGCGGGGCGCGGCGGCGGTGGCGGAGCATCCCCGGCGCGGGGCGCGGATGCGGCGCGACCCCGATCCCACCCCAGCCGCGCCCCGGGATCGCCGCGGGAGCCGTGCGGGGCGCGGCGGGCTCGGCCGGGCGGCCCCGCCACGCCCGGGCTCGCGGCGAACGCCGCGCCTGCCCCGGCGCCTCCGCGGCTTTGACAAGCGAGCGCGCCCCTGTTTATTGCGGAGCGCTCGCATCCTCCGGGTCACGCGTGGGAGGACAGAAATTCGATGGGGCATTTAATAAAATACGTAAAGAAGGTGTTTGTGTCGGTGATGATGGGCTGCCCCTCCTTGGAGATCTCCGGCCTTTGTGTGTCACGGATACAGCAGGACCGGCGGAGGGTGGTTCTGCTCCGCCGCCGGGCAGCGGGTCAGAGCAAACGAACCCGTGCCGGCTTCGGGAACAGATCGCCGATTTAGAAAATTTAGGAACGTTTCCAAGGTCCCGAGGAGCAAAGTGTACCCTCAAAACCCGCACACTGGCATTAGATATCGCATACTGTCTGTTCTGTCATCTTCTAATTAAAAATAATCAGGCTGCCCTAATTCAAGGGGATTTGCTTTGATGGAAACTATAGGGGAATTTCTTCTGCCAGAGTAAAAATCCACAGTTAGTCAATGAGAAGCATGTAAAAATAACTGAGGACTATAAGCACCAAAAAGTAAATGACAACTGGTTAGACTAACATAAGCATCCTGAGTTTAGTAGTGACATAAACTTCTGAAAAAAATTCTAACATTATTGCTTACGAGACAAATTCAGAAATTTATCAGTGTCAAATACAAATTTTAAAATAATTGGAAGAAGTAATTATATTTTTATACTACAAATGATACACTGTGCAGATCTATGCTTTTGAAAGTGTTTAATAGAGGAAATCTTCATCAAGCTATTGAGTTGCTTATTTGTAGTAAATAGATTCAGTCCTTCAATTTCTTATCATATGAAAGCTTTACTTTAACTGATTATTCTCAGAAATTGTCTTTGAACTTCCTCTGTTCTGCCCTTCACTCTTGGAGAGAGGAACATGTAATGGCAAAGAAACACCCGGGAACAGCTGGTCTGGTACTGTAGGCATCACATCATCTAACTCTTTGTGAGGGATGCAGTTACCAGAAAACTGAACTCAAACTCAGGGTGCACGGTGATGTCTCACTGAATTATACTGACAATATCACAGTCCTTTCCCTGTTATTCTGCACTCATTTGCTGTCTAACAGCCTGCCTGCCTTTGTGCTGGTGCTCTACACTGTGCACATCTTAACTGGTTTCCACTATGGATATATTTAAATTTTTACCACTGGGTAAGAAATTGAAGACTTATGTGACTCATTTTAGTGACTTCGCCAACCTAAATTCCTAATGTGTCTTTTTATCCATTTATCCAGTTTGGTTGTGTGTTGTATGTCTGAGCTTAGCCAGTAGCCTCTCTTGATAATCTAAATAATTTTGTTCAAATTGGTGTTCTTTGCTCTCTGTTTGCATACCTTTTCTTCCTTCCTCAAATTAACATTTTTCCAGTATTTTACAACTTCTGGCAAGCAATGCTCATGCATTTCTGCTGTTAGCAATCTGTTTTAGGGTGGGTTTTTTGGTAGCATTCCTATATTATTGAACCTCCTAGTTTGATGGCTCCCTGTAACTGAGTGTCCTTTTGACTGGGGCTGAGGTGGCTGTGCAGGGTTTTGCACTGAGAGGTTTTGCACCTGTGGCCACAGGTATTTGTACATGGTGGGTTAACAGTGGGGTGAGTGCCTATGTTCTGTTTACTGACCACAGCAGACAAGTGTAGTGGTGGCTTCTGTTTAACAAAGGAGTTTGGTCATCATTATTTGGTGCCCCAGAATTCTGTAAACTTAGTTTTTAAATCCTTCTTTCAAAGAGCAGCTGGGGCTGAGTGTCCAGCTGCTATGCTAAAACAGGGAAATCTGAGAACAGTGGTGACAAAAAGGTAGCACTTGGTTTGTTATCTGTTGGCAGCACAGGTGGAACAATGCTGGAGTTTATGTTACCCAGTGTCCTTTTTTCCTATTGATGTTTCCAACATGTGGGAGACAAACACCGCTGTTGTTGTTTCCAGGGTTGGTCTGATGTATTTCATTGCAAGAATAAAAAGTCAATTTCCAGGTGATTCCTTCTCCTGTTTGTTGTTTCAGCTGTCGGAATCTGCACATCCTGCGTGGTTTCTGGCTTTGGTTTACAGATAAAATGCAAAAAATGTTGGCAGTTATGATGTCTCTGTACATTGTAAGGAGAAAAAGCAGCCTAGGAATGATGCAAAAAGAGGTTTATTTAGAGGGTACCTAGCAGTGGTCATTATTCAGGATCTCAGTTCTGCAGTCTTTAGTACATGCTCTTAGCCAGCCTTTGGGTCTCCCTGCTGTATTTTCACTTGGCCCATGTTGTTCATTTAAAAGATCCACTTAAATGCACAAGATGTCCATGGAAGAAGGAACCCATGCCCAATGGAAAAGTTGTCCAGTGCTTGACACTTGGAAGATGGTTCAGTTCCTTATCTTGCCACAGACTTCCCATTTGACCATGCACAAGGCATGACAGGACAGTGGAGAGGCTCTCGTGTGGCTGATGGTGTTTGGGGCTCACAGCAGCTTGTTCCATGTAAATGTGATCAGTCAAGGAGGATACCAGAACCTGGCCTTTGGCTTTCCAAGTTTGCCTCTGTGCAGAGCTGCAGGTCTTCCTACCTGGGCGTGTGCTTTGCTTTGCATTCGTGGTGGATGTGCTGGTTACAAAGACTGCAGTTCTTTACACACACACAAAAAAAGCTGGAACTCTGAGCTGGATGAAGACAGCTCCTTGTAAACATCACAGCTATTCCTGCAATGTGTATGATCCATGCTCCCCTGGGAACCACAGAGCCATGGGCTGCTGTGTCACAGGCTGGGAGATGTCAGCTCGGGGGCAGTGCTGACCAGGGGTACAGAACTTTACCTGTTCCAAGTAAATCAGCACCTGTCTGCTGCAAACCTGCATAGTCTGGTAGTTATTGAAGGAGGTTAAAGTATCATTGGTGCCCCTCAGAAGATAATGGGGCCATTTTCTTCTACTTGCAATCAAATGGGCACTTATCCAAGGGACGGTCAGTCAGCACCCCTGGTACAGCTCAGCAGCAGGGTGTTTCTGTTCACGTCAGAGTGAAGCACACAGATGACAAATTGTGGGTGGAGCTGCCACTTCACCCTCTGTTTTGCCTGTATAAAAAGACTCTGTCCTCCACGATTCTCAGCCATGCACTTCACACCGCCCTCAGTTTCAGTCACTGTTATGTTTTTATCTTAGAAGAGCTAATTAACATTGCACAGATTTTCAAACCATCACTTAGGTTCCATAAACAGAAGAACCCTACCTTCCAGTTCTACAAAGTTACCAGCTGCAGTGAGCAGAAAGACTGTTTCATCAGTTTATAACTAAACTCTGCCCCTCTAGAAACAATGGGGAGTGTTCATCTGCAAGAGACAGGTCAGACAAACAGGTCTCTGGTGTTTTCCTGTACTTGATGCATCACTGAAATGTCAGACCACCATACACAAGACCACCAGTGTCTGCAAGGCGTAGGTTTGTTCTGTCATCCTCTTCTTGGAGGTAGGAAATGAGTGATTTAAAGGTTAGATTTTCTAAGTAAGACTTAAATCATCATATGCTCACTGTACAATTAGTCATCATATGTTTGTCTGGAAACAATTCTAATGGTTATGATCTAAAAATACCATGATACCCAGAAACAAGCTATAAATTCATCAGGCATGGTAAAGAAATACTTCCTTTCCAGGACTCAGTTTCATGCTTTGAATGGTTATGAGTAATACCACTAATGTTATTTTAGAAATAATCAGAAATTGGTCATTATGTAACATTCTGCCTCAGTGGGAGAAGCATCAATGTTTCATCTTTCTTTAATCACCAGGGAAAAACCTTTCATGTTACCTCAAACAGAGGGAATACATCCCTTTATGTCTTCCATAAATAACAGTGCTTTCATATGGATAATTTTGCAATATACATGGTGGTTATTTTTTTGTAAAGGGCATGACTGAGGTCCCATTACAATGAATTAATGTCTCACATTTTATTTGCATGGAAGTTATCAATCCCCATTTAAGCAGCCAACTGTGATGTAAGCTATAGAGTAGCATAAACATTACCAAGGCTCAGAATGCCACATCCAATTATCAAGTGGAGTTTTTCTATCACTGAATGACTATCCTAAAATTTCAGGCCTAGTCTGATATTAGGACAACATAATTGTTAATTATTCACTGCTCTCTATATAGGACTAAACCAGTTGCTGAGAATAGAGCATGAAGTAACTCTAGCTCTGGAGAAAAGCAGAATTCTAACTATACAGGGATTCTGAGGGATTCTTTGCTGCACTATGGCAAAGGATGGCAGCTGGGCTGGGCATAGAAGAGGTTTGGCCACACTCTGACTCTCCCAGAACCAGCCCTGAGGTGGTGCCAAGTGCAGTTGAGCTCTCCCCTCTGCCAGTCCCAGAGACACCCTCTGAAGAACCCAATTCTACAAGTCCTCACAGGTGATTTACTCTGATCCCCAAAGTGATCATGCTATGTCATGAATGTAAAGGCTTAGAAAAGGTGACTGGACTGCAGCAGTTCAGCACTCCTTATGTTATGAAGGTTTTTTTGGGAAACAGACAGAAAAGTTGGGGGATTCTAGAAGAGGAAATACTTTTCTACTGATCTCTCTTCCATTTTCTACCTGTGTGAATTTCTTTGACATCAGGACCTGTAGCTAATTCTGTTCTCATCATGCACACACAAACCCCACTTTTGTAGTGCTGTGTTCCTGCCACACTTGTGTTCTGTGCTGGCCCTAATGCATTCCTCCTAACTTTTCTGAGATTCATGAAACTCCTACTGCAAAACATGATCTCCCAGTATACATCCCCCATATGTTCATGGTTAGAAAATACATTGGTACATTTGTCTTGCCTTTTAAGTATAAAAATTAAAAAGGAACCTTATTTATATGTCAGACAATGGAGTATTTCTAATGTTCCCTATCTGGCACTGGGTTCAGTGGTGGGGGCACTCCCTTGCCTGTACAGCATGGGACAATCATCCTCCTTCTGCTGAGCATCTGCTTGTGTTGCACAAATACGGCTCTTAATCATAATGGCCCCAATCCTATTTATTTGCTCCAGTATCAATTTAACTTGGGATTAATTACACCTGGTTTTTATTTTCATGTTTACATGAGTCTATTTAAAGAAAGGGAAGATTTTTTTTCCACATTTACAGATCAATTTCACAACTGTTTTTCAAAACACATATATCCACCACTCTGGATACAGAGGTAGTTTAAAATAGGTCATGCATCAGGATTTCCTTTATAAAGATCAGATGCTATGATTTGCAAAAAATGAGAACAATTTCTCAAACCTGATCATAAAAAAATACTTTTTTTTCCAATAAAAATGCAAAGAGCTCTATTAATTTCCCATTCATCACATCTCTCTATACTTCATAGTGCATATTGTCATGCAGCTTCATTCTTAGCTTATACACACTATCAAACCTGGAAATTCACATCCTCTGTATCACAGTCTTCTCCTCTTTGCAGGACCCCAGAGGCAGATGTTTCTCTAAGTGTGTACTCTGTGTTTTGGATAGCAGGAGTGACCTGAAGTGCATTTGTAGCTGCTGGTCCATAGGAGATTCTACAGTCAGGTTGTTCCAACATTTCCTATGAGATCCAAGCAGATGGAAGTGGGACCCTGTGACATTCAACACTAGTTCAGCAGAGGAGTGATTCACTCTCAGAAAGAAACATCTGTATCAGCAGTAGAAGATTACAACAGTGTTGTGATATCAGCAGAAACCCCAGCTTGGCTCCTCTAGAAAGCCCTTTCAGAATTGTATGAGTATAACAAAAAGTACTTATGAACACAGCGAGGTGCAGAGGGGCTAGATCACAACAGGTATTAACTACACTGAGCAATAATGATTTTATGTAGGCTGAATAATGACACCCTTTTTTTCTTTGAAAACATGTTTTGAATGCTGATAATGACAGGAATAGGTGAAAAGCCACCCCAAATAACACCATATGTATTTATTTCTTTAGAAGGAATCTGAAACACAGCTGTAGCAAGAGGTTCTTTGAAGCTCACTGTGAAACCTCTGTGCTCCACAAAGGTTTAAAAGTAGCACGTGGGTAGCAGAAATGCCTCTTACAGTTCTGCCCCATCCAGAACGAGCACAGATCTCACCTTTTGGGCTTTGCTGTTTAACAGGGGAGCTTGGGCCCATGAGAAACTGAGATGCTCTATACTGAAACTCAGCGGAGAAAAACAAATGGGATATGTGCTCCCCCAATCCTTAATCTCTTTCACTCTTCCCAGTAGGTTTGAAGGGAAACTGCACGGTGTTATCCATGGTCCTCCATCCTGCTTCCCTCAGTGTCCCTAATGCAGAGTAACATTCAAGAGTGTGTCTCTGTGGCTAGATTGGGCATCTCCCTTGTGCTGTGTGACACCTGATCTGCTTTTATATGCCCAAAATAACAGCAGCAGGGAGCTCTGGGTTAGAACTGCTTTTGTAACTAATGGAAGTTTTCATACAGTAAATCACAACAAAGCAAATCCAATGGAAGTGTGCAAGGAGTAAATAGTTGTGCACACTCAGGCCACAGTAAGGAGCTGCACAGACAGCATATGGCTCTGTTTACATACACAATATTAACAGTATCAAATCCAATTAGGGAGGTGGAGATCGTTATCATCACATTAGGCAGCAGTTTCCAGCGTGTGTGAATCAAGAGCTCAGCATTTCCTTCCCTGTCTGACTGATGCTGAATTGCTGGATTTATCTCCTTCCCTTGATTTGTGGTACTGTGACTCTGGTGAAAGGTCACTAGAGAGCATAAACCCGGGGTGTGAGCAATGGGTGTTTCAGCCCCCAGAAAGGTTTTTCTGCTTTCAGGCATTGTGGACAAAGAAATTCTCTAAGCAGTGTCTTCTGCTTTTGTTCAGTCACAAAAGAGTAGGATTCTGTTGTGAAAAGGAAAATATTAAGGGAATTTCTGTTGCAAATGTGTGCAGGCAAGAAAAGCACACTTTCAGACTCTTCCATGCACTATCAATCTAACAAGGGTTTTTCAACACAGTGCTTCATTCCATGAGAGAAGTTAGGCTGATACATCTCTAATATGTGAGTATAAATTCCTCTCTGGGGCATTCCTGCAGGACATGATCAAACACCTTCTCTTCTTAAAAGTTAAACTAGTGACAGTTGTCACCTGTTCAAAGTGTCTCCTGGCACGTCTTCCCTTTATGGTTGAGCACTTGGGCAGTTCACAAAGAATGTGGGAGTGTCTGGTGCACACATCGTACTCTGATTCACCCGGCTTCAGCTTTGCAGACCTCTCAGAAGCTCTCAGGTCCATGGTCTTGCTGATGCCACAATTCCTGGAGGTAACCCTGCAGTCTGTACATCCAAGGAGAGGTCCTGGTACAGGTGTCCTGCACAACTGAACCCCTGACCCTCAGCCAGGGAAACTCTCTTGGACTCTTACAAGTTGCTTTTCCTACAATATTTAATTACCCTAACCTTGGGATTACATTTCTGTCTTTTCCAAGGATGTGATTAAACTCTAATAAAATAACCATTTAACTTAAATAGCTTTAAAAAGCTGTAATCCCCTCAAAGAAATATTTTAGCTCAGTTAATGACTGCTGGCTGAAATGTTATGTTTGTAATGAGTTGATCCAAAGGAACTTAGAGAAGGCACCTGATGCCCTAGGGCAGAATGCTGTACTGCAGCTCAATTTGGTTTTACAGTTTAAACAAATATAATTTATAAATAAAATGCTTACATTATTTAACAAGTAATTTTGATTAAAAAATTGCTCAGATTAAACACATATCAAACTAGCATTCTTCTTAATCACTAAGTACACAAAAACATTAGTTCTTTTGTACTGTTTTTGGTCAAAATATCCCCCACACTCATTGCATATGATGAAATTTTGGTCTAATAAGAAAATTTCACAACAGCTGTAACTTTTACCTCCCAAAAACAAACTCTCAGTTTAAAGAATGGTTGAATTCTATCCTGACATTTGGAATTGCTTGATGATGATGTCGTGCTAGGAAAACAGCAGCCACAAACAGAGCAGGAATAAGGAAAAAAGAAAGTGTGTAGGCAAAATAATGATTCTTCTTGGAATTGGATATTTAAGTTTCCGGTCAAGGCTTATTGTGCCTTGCAGTAGTCACAGAATTCCAAATATTTCAAATTTTAAATCCACTGATTATTCCCTTCCCTGTCAATAGGTTGCTGATTTCTAGTCTTTTTGATAAATACAAAAATGTAATATGTTTTAATATTTAGTACTGAAATAGTGAAACTCCTAAGTAAATGAAATATTTTTATTTGTATTTGGAATAAAAGAAAAATAAAAATCGGGCTTCCAGCTCATGTGACAAGCAACAGAACCTCCATGGATTTTATCAGCTTATGACCACTAAAAACCTGCCCAAAGGAAATTGGGGTTGGGGTTGATACATAAATCAGTGGTAGGTTCCAGTTGACTGGTTTCCATATCAACTATAACTCTGAAATTTGTGAATGCAAACACTCAGCTGTAAAACTGCACAGCTGACTGTGTCATTTGGAGAGTGCTGGTGCTGCTGTGGGAACTGGGCACACTTGGGAGGGCCTGGAGCACACTGAGAGCCCCCAGGTAATGCTGTTTCTGATAATAAATTAAATCTTCTTCACTCTATCCCTTTATAGGATGATTCTGGTTCTAGAATTTGTTCTGGACAGGAAAAAAAAAAAAAAAGAGCAAGTGAAGACAGAGAGTCCTTTGTCATATTGTCATATGACAGATAATGTGACAATGGCTGTTGTGGTCATGCAAACGAGGTCTTCTTGTTCCCAGTCAGTTCCTAACAAGGAATCATATTCAAATTGTAAAACTAAAAGAGTTTGTGAAATATTATGTTCATATTTTCTTATGTTCATGTTTCTTCAAGTTTTGAACTTCTGCAGGTCTCCCATGTAACAGACTGAATTACAGATAATATTTTGAGCTATAACTAGCATCTCCTTACTCCAGGACTTTTGATAATATGTGCTATCATTTATATCCAAACATGCTGAAATAAGACTAACTACCAGTGTACCTGAAAGATGCTTATGTAACCAGAATCTGCCAAAAAGTCAGCCAAAATATGTGGGCTAGCTTTCAGCCACCAGCAAAGCTGGGATAAGATAGAATACCTCAAGGCATAACATTTTGTTTTTTGTCAGTGTGAGACTGTTGTCTGTGACTCTACCGCTTTCCTTTGCTTCTGGCCAAAAGAGCAAACAGATACTGTTTCCAAGCAAAGGAAATAGACCAGCTATATTTCTATACAAAAGGAAAAGTTGCTAACATTTTCCTTATCTATGTCTGGAAGCTGCTGTTTGCTCTGCCCCCAGTACACTGAACCCATCCTTGCTATTCCTTGGCTGCTGCCGCCCGTCCCACACCCCCTGTGCTGTGCCAGGACATCTTGCTGCTTTGTTTTCATTAATAAGTGTCACAGTGACCCACAGCTCGTGGGCTTTCCAGGACTCTCAGCTAAAAGGAGATGCTCACAATGCTTTATTGTTAGCAGGGAGCACGGCTGGAGGAGCTGGGTTCCCCTGGATGGTTGAAATCCTGAGCAGCAGAGCAGAGCAGAGCAGCAGGAGCCATGTCTCTGCCCTTCCGAAAGGAGCTGGAGAAGTACAAGAATATCAACGAAGATGAAATACTCAGCAAGCTCTCAGAGGATGAACTGAAGCAGCTAGAACATGTTCTTGATGACCTTGATCCTGAGGTGAGTGATGTTAATTGCAGCACTGCCTGTTAGAAATGCCACACACTGCAGTGTGTTTTATTTGCATTCTGTTGCAGTAGGGACAGTGTACCCTAAAGTATGAGCAGCTCAGCTACAGACATTTTGGTTGTATTCCTGCTGTGATGTGCTACTTCTCTAAAAGTCACCGTGCTCTTGATCTATCCCATGTCTATTTAGACATGAGCTTGTCTGCAATCTAAATCTTTAATCATGTTGGCACACCGCAACACAATGAGAAGCTTTTTATGGCTGCCGATTCTGAGCACAGCAATAAACAAATATAACCTGTGTTTATGGAGATCAGGTCTCTTGAACTTCTGAAATCTGCTGACTGTGTTGTTTAGCACATGTTTTTAGCTGAAGAGTACATATTTGGGCATGATCAAGAAAAATAGGATTCAGCCACACAACTGTCATTTTCCAGTGAGTAAGAATAATTGGAATTTTATATATATATAAAATACCAATTATATATTGGGAATATGTAATATGTAATTATATGTATACAATATAATATGTAGTTATATTTGGAATATGTAATATGTAATTATTATATATAATAATTGAGAAATTCTCACAAAGAATTTAAAGATCTCCGGTCTGAGAACCACTACAATAATGAGGTTGCAGTCACAAGTGTGCAGGGAATTGTGACTGTACCTACCCGAAAATATTCAAACTAATGTAGGAGTTTGAAAACTGGCAGGTAAAATGGCAGATAAAATGTTCTGTCTGGAGGCAAAATGAATTTGGAGAAGCACAATAAATTTACAACTTCTAATTCTATAGCGCCATTTTGTTTGGAAATGAAGGGGGACTTTAATGTTCTCTCCCACCATGTTGCCACTTCCCACACTACCACCACTTCTAGATTTTCTGGTATTTTCAAGTATCTGGCATCTCAAATGGAGATACAGAAAACCATTTAAAAAACAACACCAACCAACCCAATAAATCAGGTCATGGTGCATTTGTATTTATGCTACATATGTGCAGTGAATTTGGAGCACTCTGGACACATTTGTGCATGCACAGGTAAAATAACTGGTGACTTGAGTTCGCTGGATGTGCTCAGAATTCCCTACGTATTTGCCACAGATCAAATTTACTGTGCATGTTCTGGCCAGTGAGGAAATGTTTCTGAAGTACTCTGGGGCACCTTCAACACGTTGGCATTACTGCACGTGCACTGCAAGGTCCACCTACCTGTGTTTCTTCTTGGGATTTCCTGGGCTGAAATGTGGGGACCTTGTGCTTGGTCCTATGTTACAGGATGCAGATGAAACCCACAGCTACATGTTGTACAGGATCCCACATGTTGAAAGTGGGAATTATCTGCTTGCTTCCTCATACTCTGAATAGCTGAAGTCTGCCTCATTCACCAGTCTCTTTAGTGCATGCCATTCATTTCTGAAGTCTGAGAGACATCTGCTTTAGAATAAAAGGAATTTTTTTTCAGTGAGAGAAAAACAGTGAGGTAAATGAGTAAAGGAAATGTACAGAAAACATATCCTGGTTTATCTACCTGGACTGCAAACTGTGGTTATAATATGTGCAACAAAGGACTCTGACCGTACTTAGTTCTTCTGTGCTCTGACTGTGAATATGGTTAATAAAATATTAGTGGGTAGTAAGTCAAGGAGGCTGAATGATATGCTGGGTTTCGTGATTACATTCAGGTAATGTGTGTTACTGCTGCCACCCAAGAGCATTATGCAAAGAATGATTTCACTTAGAAAGCAGTGAGACTGAGCTGAGATTTGAGCACTGTGTGAAGCTGCCTGCTCTCCTTTGCATGCCCCTCTCTCACAGAACGCCCTGCTTCCAGCGGGATTTCGGCAGAAGGACCAGACCACCAAAGCTGCCACGGGCCCCTTCGACAGAGAGCGCCTGCTCTCCTACCTGGAGAAGCAAGCTCTGGAGCACAAGGACAGAGAAGACTTCGTACCCTTTACAGGGGAAAAGAAAGGTACTGGCCACGCTGTGTGACACAGGGTGACACTGACAGTGCCCTGCTGTTCTGGGAGGCTCTGGCAGCGTGGGGCGAGGCTGGAGTCGGATCCAGAGCTGCTGCTGCAGCAGGTGAAGGGCTGCTTTAGCTGCTGCCAGAGTCTGTCTCACTGCTCTGCAGTCCAGTGGCAGCTCTGTGCCTGTCCCACCATGGTCTGTGGTGGGTTATTGGCCTGTTGGGGGGTACAGGAACACCAGCACCAGCCCAGCAAAGGGCTCAGGCAGCAGCTCCCTGGTCAGCCAGTGCCTCTGGGTGCACTCAAGCACAAAGGTGCCCTCACCAGCCCCACAGGGACTGTCCCTGTTAAGCATTAGGCCATTCCACTGGGGGAGGCATTCAGGAGGAAACACATAAATGCCTTTTTGAGTGAATCTTGCCTACAACTGCTGTACGTAACAGCTTAGGGAATACAGTTACAAAAAAATAAGTATTTTTCCACTTGTTTACTGTCACATCTGGCAATACTATTTATGCAGACACTTTCCCTGCTACCCTTGTCCTACAGCTACAGGAAAAAGGGGGAAAAACAGGAAAACCTAATTCTAATAATTTAAACACTGGTAGGATAACCTCAGGGCAGGAACAGTCATAATTTAAACAAACAATATTCCTTTAGCACCACTAGCTCCTTTTTCCCTGTTTATAAAAAGGACAAAAATGATGGCCTCAGGCAACCCCTTTATTCAAGAAGGAACTTTCTGTGTCTGGGTCCATTTCTGGCTATGTAATGGATTTTCTATTATTTCAATGGGATCTGCTTAAGGGAAAGCAGATACTTCAAGAAAGTCAAGGGCAGCATTTTTTACATTATGTACCATTACCAAAGATGTAAAATGCTATTTATATAACATTTCATAGGCCAGGAGTTGTTACTATCATTACATTGTGTTCTCAGTCTTTGAAACAATGATTTCAGAGAAATGAGACATTTTCCAGCTAGATCTGATCAATGTGTCGTTTTACCATGCAGCATATTCTTTAACCTGCATTTCCCCCACATCCTGCTCTTCCAGGGCTGACTGTGAGCCCACTGACATGCAGTGACAGGGCAGAGGTCCTGCCAGTAGCAGGAGAGGTCAAGCACACACTGTGCAGGAAGGAAAGCACTTTACTCCAGTATGGATTTATTACCAATTGTTTTCAGTCTCCTGCACACTGCTGGGTCAGAGCAGTACAAGTCACTGCTTGCAGGTCCCTAGATATTTATACCAACACCTTCAATCATGTCTCACCTTACTGGTATTTGCAGACTTAAGATTAAGATTTTTCAGTTTTCACTGTAGTTATATCTGAGATCTCCAAATAAGCCTGAAACATCAGTGCACAAAACCCAGCAGTGTATGGAATTGTCTATACCCATAGCACCGGCCCTTGATCTGTACAAAATGAGTCCCTGTACTGTCCCTGACAGTGGTATTGCATGGACTGGGCTGTTTAGTCCATTTCAGTTTTCTTTTGATGAAGCTGAAGCAATATTATTCCTACATTTGCTTCCAGATGCCCTTAAAGTGCTTATTAGTTCTGCTTATTCGTTCCTGGTGTCTCTGGTGTGGAAATACCACTGCTTTGCAAACACAACCAACCACTTCAACCACATTTCACTTCCCCCTGAGCACAGAGTGAATGCAGCCCTCCTAGCATTTAAAGCTGTTCTTAATTTGGCTTTTGATTCACTGTGTTCATTTACTTCAAAATTATAATTTCAAGAATTATTACAATTATGAGGTAATGACAGCATTTTAGGATACAGGAATTATTCCCTTAATTTCCTCTTTGTACCATACAAATTCATGACAAAATCCTCAGTATCAGCTTTAGCAGATTAAGTCAAATGAAAACAATCATGTGTTCTGTGATTTCTGCAGTCATTTTACAATTATAATCTAAACACACAGAATTATACTACATTTTCTTTGAAGTCAGAGGCCAAATGCTATAAAAATACCCTTTGTTTCCTTGTTGGTTAGAAATAACTGAATTAATCTGAGGTCTGATGAGGTCCAGTACCTTGACAATTGAGAGCTGATGGGCTGCACAGTGTCATTTTAGTGCTGCTTTAAGGGAACTGACTTTGAGAATAAAGTTGTTTATTTTGAGCTTGGCATATCCTGAATTGGTACTGGAGTGTGAGTCCTGCTGCCCCTCTGTGGCTTGGCAGGAGGTGTCTGACAGAAACACCACCAGACTTCCAGCAATGCAGGAGCTGAGCCTTATAGAACATACAACTGAAATCTCCATCTGCCAAATGCACTGAACTCCTCCCCTCAAATGGGTTGTATGAGAAACCTGCTAATTGGTTGCTAATTGGTAAAATGTGATGAAAGTTGTACAAAGTCCATGTGTGGCTATTCCTGGATCTTAGAACCTATGCTTGTAACTGCAGTGTTACTCATTTTGACACTCTCAATTGAAAAAAAAAAAAAAAACCAAACAAAAAATCAACAGGACGGCTGTATTAAAATATAAATTACTTGATTTACACTTTAAGAAGATATTTCCCATGCAAGGAAACAAAGCAATCCTGAATGACATTTTCAAATCTGATACTACATGCTAGATGCTTTAATTGGAGAATAATTAGTATTCTTCCAAAGCTCAGTAATTAGTTCAGGAAAAATAATTTAAATTTCTAAAATGTGTCCTCAGAAGAATTCTAAAGAAGAATTCTTGAGGAAAATCTTATTTTTCATCTTCTGCATGTTGATGGTCTCTAAGATGCATTTACAGATTGGTAAATATTTATATGATTATATTATATAGATTTCTGTTGAATTATTTCTTTACACTCTAAATGCACCGTAATGTAGTCATTCTCTAAATAATTCAAATTTAATTTGATGCTATTTCTGCTAGTTAAAAATTAAATTCTCAAGCAGCCCTAAAAGTCATCCAGTTGTGTATATTTGGGAGGAATTGATGCCAATTTGCCATTTGGTATTTATGACCTAAGAATATTTGTGTGTCAGTAGGATTAGAGTATGTAAAGTGTTGTTTGAACTTTTTTCAGTGTTTTGTACTATGATATTTGTCTGCCACTGGAAAGCATTTATTTTTTCAAGTATAGGAGGTGGGATGCTTCTACTAAATGTATAGAGACATTTCTAACAGTTCTTACAGTTATCATACAAAGCTAAAACTTGGAAATTCACTGATGAGCTGAAAAGAAGGTGACATTTAAAATATCCTCCTTCCAGACCAGTCTGTGGGACATGATGATTTTTTATCTACAGTGACTGCCTCTTTTTTTTTGTTGTTAATATTTTATTAGAGAGTTCATGACCAAGAAGCAATACCAAGCATCTGCTGAAGGACAAAAACTCAGTTGCCTATGTTGGTCTCTATATGCTGAGCAACCATAAGGTTTTGATTGTCCTAGAAAACAAGCTAAAACAAATTCCAGAGCTGACAGGGATATGCAGAATGGTTACAACACAGGAAGTGTTAAATATGAGCCCAAGACAGGGGTTGGGGGCTGATTATGCAGGAAATTGCCTTGTTTTTGATTGTAATTGTGGTTTCAAGAGGTTGGAGATGTTTGGCAAAAACAATCGAACATATGGAATGCATTAGGGTTTTGGACCTCTGCCATATTGCAGCCTGGTAACATACTTCATTAATTGCTGTACAAAAAGGATTTAAGTCTGTATGGGATAGATCTCAGATTTCAGTGGAGACCCAAGGTTTGCCCAAACCAGGGCTGAAATGATCACAGGCTCACACCCAAAGCTGGCCACTGACAAATGTTATCAGACTGTTTTACCCACATCCTCCCTAATGCAAGTCAGGGCTGGGTGCTTCATTTGAATGCCCCATTGTGTGATTTGAAATGATCTGGTGGCTTTCAGGAGCTCTTGTGCAACACAGATATCTGTTAATAATGAGCAGTGTAGGTGAAGAGTAAGGGCTGATAACTGGGGCCATGGTGATGGGCAGTTTATAAGTGTTTATTTTGTGTATTTTGGATTTGTTCCTACTTAGGATAGATGTTCTAGAAATCCTTACATAGAACCTGATGGTCTGGAAGTTACTTAGGGTTGTACTTAAGCACAGCTGACCCACTGTACTTAACACATATAGCTGGGACAGGTGGTTATCAGACTTCCATCACGTCCATGTGAAGTACCATTTTCAAGTTCAGGAATGACCCAGGAATAAAAAGAGAAGGTGGGGAACACGAGGGGCAGTGCAGACACAAAGTATTCCAGAGTTCTGTCAGTGCTGTGTTTCTCTGCAGTCTGTATGTCTGACGTGCCGTGGTACAGACATCAACTGGTACCAGCATTTCTGCTTCTGCTTTGGTGCAGGGGTTCTCTGAACTGTATGGTACTAATAAAACACAATTTAAAAAAGTTCTTCTGTTGTGAAATGCCATTAGCTATGAAAGGTTGCTTTAAGGATTGCTGTTTCAACCCTTCACTGCTGCACCACTGTCCCTGTTTTCTACAAGGTCTTCTGCTCCTTGCCAAACCATTTCATTCTGGATCCGATCCAGTTCTCATCAAAGTCATGGAAAAACTCCAGTGGATTGGGCTATTATTATTTGTGGCTGGAAAGGGAAGGGGAACATGCTTGTATGTGATTAAATACTAACATTTTCAGCTGATTGATAAAAGGGAAAGGGAAGAAAGTACCAGAGAACTTCTGGCCAAAGCTGTGTTTTCAGTTGCTCTGGCAGAGACCATCTATGTTGCATGTGATTCTGTGCCAAGCAGAGTATCAATATACAGCACCAGTAATAAGGACAGTCATTTTCAGAAGGTCAGAGTATTAAAGTAGATGCTAATGAGTTCCAATTCCACTGTGTCTAACAGACTGCTTTCAAAAGTTAGGGTTTAATACAGAGACACAGTATCTTTCTTGGATTGACATGGCAGTCGTTTCACCCTCAATGCCTAAATGGTTTGTTTAAATTTTTGCCACCTTTTTCCCATTCTTTAGGGCTTAAATTTAGAACTGAT